GGTAGAGAAATATTAGTGTTATTTGGAAATCGAGGTTAAAAAAACAAAGAGCTACTGTTGTTGGTATTTATATACCTCCCGAGGATCTTTATATGACCATTGTCACAGCTGATATTAAATGGCTATGCCGTCTGTTGACAACATCCCACACCTACTGACACCTTACAGTTATTTAAGTAACCTTGTATTTCACATCTCATCAATATCAAATGATCTCTCCTAGAGGCTTTGCCAAATGCCATTAAGGGAAAGATTTATAATTTGTGAAACTGTGTATTTATATGGCTTTTATTTCAGTATTCTCAAAGGTAGATGAATATTTATATAGATATGTACTAACTGAAAATAAGATCATTTATTTGAAGAGAAGGAGCTGAGGGGTGGGGATTATGGGCAAAACAAACAAAAACTTTCCCACACATTATCTTCACTCAAATATCCTGGGTCTTGCTCTCTGTGATATATTACTTCTTGAACTATTGCAATAGTTTCCAAATTTATCTCCCTGCCTTGTCTGTCATTCAAGTGCATATTCCAGGCTACCTCTAATCGTCTTTCAGAAACATAGATACAAATATGCCATCTTGCCTAAAAACATTCATGGCTTAACAGTCCTGACAGTACAAAATATAAATTCTTTAGCTTGGTACTGGAGACTTTCCACAACTTGGCCATATACCGCTTTTCTATCCTCAACCTAGGTTATTTTCTTTCCTAAGATTCCTATTTTCTAGACCAGCACTGTCCAGTACAATTTTCTATGATGACAAAAATGTCCTGTGTCTGCACTGTTCAACATGGTGCTCACTAGTCAGATGCAGCTATTGAGCACTTGAAATATGACTAATGATACTAAGATACTGAATTTTAAATTTGGGTTAATTTTAATCAATTTAAATCAATATATAATATTGATTATATAATAGATAATATAGATAATAATAGATAATATAGCGATATATGGCCAATGGCTACTGCACTGGACAATACAGCTTGGAACATATACCAGTCTATCTATATCTTATTCTCATAAGTCTCATAAGTCTATATCTTATTCTCACGTAAGACTCAGCTTGGCTCACATGGTTCTTTCTCTATCTTAAATATTCTTCCTAATTTGTTCTCCTGAACTTTGTAACTTACTCTTGAAAGAACGAATTCGATGACATCACACTTCCTATGAATTTTTCTCTGTCAAATCCCCTTTGAAAGCATTACTTCACAACTTTCTGAGTGAGTTATTTACACCGGAAATGGAAGGAAACCACCCATTCCATCGTGACTCACATTAACATAACCTCCTCTCAGCATTGTGTGCTGAAGTCAGTGTTTCACAGACCACGTCACCTGGTGTTTCTGGACTTCCTCAATGCGAGGGATAAACCACATAGGTCAGGCTTCATGGTACTTGTCTCTATTTCAATATGAACATTTCCTTTAAAATATGCTAATATATATTTACTATAGAAAACACTGTTTCTGAAAAAGTATTTGAACCCAGTCTTCTGAGCTAATTCTCTTATTATCTTCATTTTTATGTTTAATTTGTATTATACTTTATCTTATGTTTACATGTATATTATATTTTTCCATAACTACATTTAAGATCTATGAAAGCAAAGAACACATTCTATTGTTTTTTCTCTCCAAAGTGCCTTGTCCATGATCGGTGAAATACATTTCCATGATTGCATACTTTAACCAAATTAAGAGATTACAAATAAGTAAGTCTCTCCTCAGATGGGTATACCAGGCCCCTGATATAGGTATAATATGGTTTTCTGAGATTTCTAATCATCTATGGGATGAATATTCTAGTTTCAACACGAACTACTCTTTAGTTAATAATGAATGGCTTACTACAATTGTATTTCTATGACCTTTATCTGTTTTGTAGAGTCTGGATTCCATGCTACAACACTCTTAACTTCTTAGATTTAAAAAAGAAAAACAAAACAGATGTTGACATAAACACACCTGAAGCATGTTCTTAATGAGTATGAATAAAAACACAATAATATGTATTATATGGGATGGAAATATGGGCCAAATTAAAATGTCAATGATATTCACAATAAAAAAAAATAAAGAGGAAAGAAATAGATATGGAAAGACGGAAGCAGGGGGCGGAAGAAAGGAAGGAAGATGGGAGGTAAAGGGGGAGACACAGAGAGTGAGAGAGAGAGGGGGAGAGAGAAAGAGAGAACAGAAAAAGGAAGGGAAATAGAGAAAAGGCCTAATATATCACATGGAGAGTAAGGTGAAAAGTATTTTTATTAATTTGTTTTTTTAAGAGGGTCTTTGGAGCTAAAAATCTATTGTATTCAAATATTATCGCTTTTTTAAATAAATTGAATAATCTGAGATTCAGTTAAGCAAAGAGACCTCAAGAAGGGGATTTCGGTTTTGCTTAATAATAGACATGCTGGTCTTTCAGTGACTCTAGTCGAGGTCTTTGGTTCTGACTTGACTGTTCCTGTAAGTCATTCAGAGAACAAAAAGGGGAAAATGCTATGTTTTAAACTACTCAGAATTTTGAGTTTATGAAAGAAAGTGGGGGTATGGAAGGAAGAGAGACAGAAGGGGAAGGAGAAGGAGGAGAAGTGGGAGAAGGAGGAGGAGGGAGAGGGGAGGAGGAAGAGGAGGAGGAAGAACAAGAGGAAGGAAAAGAAAAACAGGAAGATGAGAACAGTAACAACAACAACAACAACAACAGAAACATTTGAAAAGGTGTAAAGCCAAGATGCTTCAAGACTTCTGGGTCTAGGTTATGCAATTTTTTGTCCTGGCTGGCAGAAGAAAGAACAGACTCCACAAAACCATTAAGTAGAGCACTTGAGACAACAAGCAAAGCTGTTTATTCTTCATGAAAGTGCAATCTGATTTACTCAATTAGCAAGACCATATGGTTGAACACAAAACCAAGCAGGGAGTCAGATTTGATTACTGATCCTGGTTTTTCAATCAAAATGTCATTTACTATTAAAAGAGCTCATAAATCACATAACTGAACAGAAAGGAGAGACTACAGAACTTTATTCTGGATAGCTCTAATAAAAATATTTTTTGTACCTAGGTAGTCAACAATATATATCAATTTAACTTTTAATGTTTGAAATTTAGTGCTTCAAAGCTCTTATTTAATTTTTATTCCTTATTTTTTCATGTTTATTATTTTGCCTCCTGGGCCTGATGCTAAATTTTAAATACCCAGTGTATAGATTTTTTCCCTTAAATTCTAGAACATTGCCTAGGATATGGGTGTCCCCAACAAATATTTGGTGAATGAATTATTTTAAAAAATCATAGTTTTAAAATTTGCACTCCAATGGTTAAGTTTACTGAGTGAATGTGATAGCCAAACTGATTCGCTATAGTCGTAGAGTAGCCACTTTTTGGTTGAGTGTCTTTGATAATATAATAATAGTCGCTACATTGTATATTTTTATAATGAAATTAGAGAATCTATGTGAGATTATAGATTTCCTGCCTTTTATTCAGTTTCCAGAAGTAAAATTTTCAAAGTAGTCATTGAACATAGCTATGGATGAGTAAATGATGAAATGGAAAATCCAGAGAGGATGCTTGGCTTTGATTAAAGGAAAATGGTAGAAAACCTGCATTTTTCTTTACCTAAAAATGTAGCAAATGGATATTAACATTGACATTATGGCTCCCTGATGGTTTATCCATTCAGGGGTTATATTATGTCCTATGGGTAAGCTAAAATAAGTCAAATTGAGAAAGTCACAGACTAATTCTGCAATGTAGGTTATCAAATGTGTACTGCCATCAATGTGCTCCACTTTCTTGGAATATTGCGGGAAACTGAAAGCAAAGACACATAGGGTTTGGTCCTTGGAGTATAATATGAAAAGTAAAATACAATTGAAAATGATGTCAAAGTGTGATAAAGAAATTAATGAAAAATGGGAGGAGGGGAGAAAAGCATTGAATCCTAGAACTTGCTAAGTTAGGAGATAATATAGAAAACTCCGTGACTTATTATATACGCTCTATGGTAGGCTTACAAGCTTGCCACTCAGGATAGCTGTTCTCGTTAATTTAGGTATTTGGGGAAAAAATCCGCTTTAAAAAAAAAAAACATTTCCTGGAATCAGCAAAATAGTGGCTTTTTTTTTTTTTTTTTTTTTTGGTCAATACTGGAGGAACAGATGTTGACTTTTCTGAGTCCTATAAGAACAGGAAATACCAAGGAGTGATTACAAGCTTCAGCTCTGGCACCAAAAAAGACCTAGGTTTGAGTCTTGGATTCTTCAGTTCCTAAGGCTGTCTGTCCTTCTGCAAATCGCTGAACTTGTCCTCATAGGAACATAAATGAAATCATGCACATAAAATACCTGGCATACTCAGTAAGTGCTGGATATTACTTGAAGGTTGCTGCAATTGCCATTATAATAGATTATAGTTGGTCATCCAATACTTAAGTATATTGAAATCAATAGAGCCACTTCTAATATATCAATTTGATGTGATGTATGTTGGGGTAGATACATGATAGGGAAGGGGGAGTAAGAGAGCACAAATATAGGCGAATCAAAAACACTTCATAGCTATGACTTTCAAACACAGCTGAATACTAATATTAAAGAGGGTTCTCTATCTCTAAAAATCAAGTAATTTTGTGGGCCACCTTTTGTTAGAAGTGAAAATCCTAACACAAAAATAGCATCAAAGAGAGATCTTAAATAATTTGGGGGGTACAAAAAATCTACCAGTTGGGGAAAATCCACAATGTAAGAAACCACCCTTTACAAGGGGATTTAGAGTCTTTTCTAAGGGGCACTATCAATATACTTCTCCTGGTAGGCCATGTTAGGTACTCCGGTGTCATCTTAACGTTATTTATCTTTTGTTGGGTACTTCAAGAATCCATATTTGTCTAAGCAAGTATAGCATGAGTATTCAGAACACCATCTCTATTATAATAAGTTGATGTTATTTTATAAACATTTTATAAACAGATTTTTATAACATACCGAGCTCTTATTTTTTTGCTTTCTATCTCTAGAAGTCTTTCCTTTTTTGTTGCTGGTAAAATAATGCAAGGTGCCATATTCCATTAAGGCTGCAAAAACAAAAATGAAACAAACAGAAACAAAGAGGTCCATCGCAGTCACATAAGAAACCTTAGGTAATGACTTCCTGGCGATTGTGCTCAGAGTTGTCATAGTCAGGACTGTGGTGATACCTGCGGAGGGAGGGGAAAATAGGAGATAAAAAGTAACAGACTATTTTAGTTCTTCCATCTGATTTGGCAATGCTGTAAGCGGTCACAAACAATGGAAACAAAAGGATATGATTACTCCTGATTTACACAAAACATTACTGGTAACCATAGCTACATTATGTTCAATGTGCTCTTTGTGTCTGTATTAATTTTATTTTTCTTTTTAAGCTTATTTATTTATTTTGTAGTGAGACAGTGAGTGAGAGAGGGACAGAGAGAGAGAAAAAGAGAGAGAATCCCAAGTGGGCTTTGTGCTGTCAGTGCAGAACGCAACGTGGGACTCGATCTCAGGAACCATGAGATTACGATGAGCAGAAATCAAGAGTCAGATGCTTAGCTGACTGAGCCACCCAGGAGACCCATGTGTCTGTATGAGTTTTCCTCATCTAAATTTGTGGACTGCAGATATCTGACTCCCTGTACTCATTCTTCCATTCCTCCACAGCAATAAATTCTCCAAGTTTTAGCTGGCATGTGGCTGCCTGGAAGAACTTCTTTGCCCCCTTCTCTCAGTTATGTGTGGACACAGCTGAGGAGAAGTAAGTCAAGGGTGTAAACAATGGCCAATGGATGGCATTAAAAATGCAAAAAGGGAGTCAAAAATGTCAAATTTCCAGGTATAAAGTAAGTCATGGAGATGTAATATAAAGCATGGTGATTATAGTTAATAATACTGTGTTGTATATCTAAAAGTTGCTGACAGTAGATCTTAAAAGTTCTCATCACAGGGGCACCTGGATGGCTTAGTCAGTTAAGCAACTCACGTTTGATTTCAGCTCATGATTTGTGAGGTCTGGCCATGCTGACACCTTGGAGCCTACTTAGAGGATTCTTTCCCTCCTCTCTGCTCCTCCTCTGCTCTCTCTCTCTCTCTCTCTCTCTCAAAATAAATAAACTTAAAAAAAATTTTCATCCCAAGAAAATACATTTTGTAACTGTATAATGATGGATGTTAACCAGACCTACAGCGGTAATCGATCTGCAATATACACAAATATTGAATCATTATGTTGTACTTCTAGAACTAATATAATGTCAATTGTATTTCAATAAAAATAAAAGATGGCATTAAAGAGATAGGAAATGCCCATCTTTCCCTCTTCCTCAGAGCTTTCTGCAGGAATACGATGGCTGGAGCACCAGCAGCCATCTTAGAACATTAGATAATCATGAGAATTAAAATCATCCACAACACAGCAAAAAACTAGAAGGAGCCTGAGCCCCTCACACTGCAATCGCCCTTCCACTACCTACCTCTTGGCTTCTCACATGAGAAACAAATCCTCTTCCACCTAATTTAAGCTATAGAGATTTGCGGTTTTCTGTCACAAACAATTAAAATGAATCCAAACTGGTACAGTGTTTTCTTATACAATAACTTGAATTAAAGTTATTTTTTAATCTCGTTTAAGTAAAGAATAGGAGCAAGATTATGTCAATTGAATACCTAAAAAGCACAGAGAAAATCTTCATATTTTGAAGAATTCAGCATATAAAATTGGGATGTCACCCTGGGCCCCAGCCCTGTGTATGTATCTCTGGAGGTATCTGTTTGTGTTTAGTTATGGCTTTCTTGTGGTTCTTACCACAGCTCATCTTGGCACCCTTAACTCACAGCTGCACATACCATATCTCTTCTTACCTAAACTGCTACAATTCTCATTCTATGTCCACCAGACATGGCCCCAAATTCTGACTCTTCCTTTAGTTCTGTGACCTTAAGGAAGTTTCTTAACGTCTCTATGCCTTTCATCTAAAAAACTGGCATAGTAATATCTTACTACTTATAACGAATTTACACATGAGGTATTTATTTTATTAGTTCTTAAAGTAGGTACTTAGAATATTGATTTTATATCTTCCTTTCTAACATTAGCATTGTAAAACTATAACTTCCTTTCTGAGCAATGCTTTAGTTGCATCTACAGATATTTATGTGTTAAATTCTTATTAAAATTTAGTTTGAAATATTTTCTAATTTCCATTTTGACCCAAGGGTTATCTAAAAGGTCATTTTAAAATTTCCAAATAGATAAGGCCACTATTATCTATATTATGTATATTAATTCTTAATTTACTTCCATATGCACTTGAAAGTATGGTATGTTTTGTAGTTAGGGATAGTCTTCTATGAATATTAATCAGGTCAAGTAGTTGATAATTTCATTCAGATTTTTTACATCTTCATTGATCTTTCTCCCACGTAATTGTTCTACCATGAGTGAGAAAGAATGTTAAAATATCCAAATATGATAACAGATTTCTTTTTTACCCTATTATTCCTGACAATTTTGCTGCGATGATTTTTAAACCAAAACTATTTATTAAGGCTAGGCATACAGGAAGTGCTCAACAATTACCACGAATAAACAAGTCTTTCCTCTTCCTCACCTTACACCTTTTTTTCTGGTAACTTATCAAATCACAACATTGCCACACTCAGAAAACGATAGATTTCCAAATGTATTCCTGGCTTCCATACTTTTGTCCCAATTGACTAAAAAAAAATTTAAAGACAATGTGTGCTTTGATTTCAATATCAGTGACTGCATTAAATTTCACTTTACTAAAGTACTATTACATTTGTATTCATAAATCAATGAAAGCTACAGAACTTAGCTTTCAGATATTTATGTCTTTAATTTAGTAATTAATATCACAGTCTTTCACATAAAAATAAGATAGTGGATTTCCTATAAAATATCTTTGAATCCATAATGATAAAAAATATTTGGGTTATTAAGCAGATTCATTGATATTGCCTCCTTGGTTTCCCTTGCTCAAAATCCTACAAGTCTTCCACATCACATTGAGAATAAAATCCAAAGTCTGTAAAATGACCTGTTAAAAATATGATCTAACGACCGGCATGTCTCCAATCTCATTTTCTACCACCTCTCAGTCAGTCTAGCCATTGTTGCTTTTTTTTTTTTTTTTTTTCCGGGACTTCAAGCACAGCATGGCAAAGAAGATCCCACTTTAGGACCTGGTGGTTCTCCCTGCCTGGATTATCGTTCTACCAGATATCCACCAGGTTAGCTCCCACTTGACTGGGTCTCTGCTCCTTCCTCAAACAAGTCTGGCCTGACTCCATAACACAAAATAGCAAACAGCATATTTATGCACATCCCCTGACATACTCTTATATTTATTTTGCTTTCTCTTCATAACCTTTATTACTCACTGATATTATATGCTTTTTATATTTGTACATGACCTGCATACCCCACTAAAACATAAATGCCATAAACATGAGGATTTTATAACTACTGTTCACTGTTAACACTAAAGCCCCCAAAACACTGCTTGTTTCATAAAAAAACATTTGATAAATGTGACATAAGTAAACTCAGGAAATTGTCCTTCAATTATGTGCGTATGTATGTATGCATGTACCTACACTCGTTTTAAGAAAAATCTTGGTCCTCCAAACACATAGGGCCCACAATTATAAGAGATATTCTTCAAGATAGATCTGGCTATGGCTTCATAGTTGATATGCTAAAACTTATAACTATGAATTCACATAACAACACAATTCCACAATTGGCTATACCCTTTCTGAAACTATGGCATGTTTTTTGGCTTTATACAAATATAATAGTAGAATAGAACAACCCATTCCAATTTTCTTAAAACAACTCATGGTAGCATACAAAGAATCTGAAATACTTTACTTACTTTAGGACATAAAATAATTTGAAATTATAATACTAGTTTAAATAGGGAAACAAAACTCAGGTATGAGTACATTTTATTCACTGGCTATATCTAACCTCTCTTTAGACTCTCAAAGGCACTGAATTTTCAAATACAGAGCTGGGTGCCTCGGGCTTTATCTTGCCACTTTTGTGTGATTTGCATTTTACTGTATTTATTAAATGTAGTTATTCACCAGCTATCATAGAAACCACATGAAAACCTCCTTTGTTGAAAATAGACTATCCCAACTTTATATTTTTTAAGACACAATTTTCAGTAGTATGATCATGTTTTGCACTGATCTTGGGAATGAAATTGATCAATAAGATATCTTTGTATATCAATACATAAATGGATGTTATTTTCTTTTAAACAAATGTATAGTAATTAGGCATATTTTCTTATATGATTTTGATTATTGCAATTGACTGCTAAAGAAAGAAACCAAAGGTCTATTTTATCAAGTATGAATCACAAATTGCCCTTTTAATCAGTGTTATTGTACAGGCAACTCTCAAAATATTCATAGACTAATTACACATTTTATAGATTACAGAAGCCTGGCAGTTTTTGTCCCTTTCAGCGACTTGCCCTTTAGAAAAGTTGGCTGTTGATTAGCACCATTGTAAGAGCAGGAGATTCCGAAGTCTTCTAAACACACATCAGTCAATAAATGCTGGCTATCAATGATTCAGCAAAAGAATAAAAATCTTGATGAAAAGTGATTGAAAATATTGACCAAATGAAGATTCAGGAATTATGCGTGGTTTTCGCTTATTAATTCTTGCTGAGTATTTATGCTTCCCTTGAACTCCATAAGCAGGAAAAAATATAAAATTTTCTGAAATTAAATTCTTTGTGATTCAATTTACTACTTGTTTTTCATATATTCCTTTCAACCTTGTATTGCACTGGAGTATTTTTTAAAGTTTTGCTTGATTGTAATGTAGAGCGATATTCGAATATATTCAACTACAAACTCTTTCACACTGAAATATTTCAACAGTCCTATGATACTATAGCATAATATTACATATCATACCAAGTGATGTTCTTGCAGGTACTGCATCTTTATTGATCCAAAAAGACACCCAAGAAAGAACAACTGTCAGAATACACGGAATGTAGGTCTGAATAGTGAAATATCCCATTCGTCTGCTCAGGTCAAAAAAAATTGTCATAATAATATAATCCCCTAGAAGAAAAGAAAAGTTTTATTTTTGCTATTAAAATACATAAAAGCATAGGTTTGAACCAACAGATTTAAATACAAAGCCGTTTGATGCTAGCATCATTCACTGATTGGTGTTTCCTTACCAGAGATGGTGTGAGAAATTTCAGTTGAGTTCCGTAACCCTACAAATGCAAACTGATATAATCTCCAGTATTTAGGATCAGCCACTTCTACAGAAGGTTTTTTCCACTTATACTCAATTTCATTTTTAGGGTACCCATCTAGATAAAAAAATTAAAATAAACATATAGAGTTTAGCAAGATCCAAATCTGTTACTGTTGCAATACCATTATTCAAAGACAAGTTCTTTGAAATTCATTTTTGTATGATAGGATATGTCAAATATAGAAAATACAGCATAAAATATATGTGTATAGTTTAAAAATAACCATATAATGATCCAATAATGATAATCCATGCCACTCCACTTAAATCAAAAAACAGAATCATGCTGGTTTCTTAGGGAAATTCATGTCCCCATCCCAATGTAGTAGTCCCTCACCCAACTAAATGTAACCACTAACCTGATTTCTGAAATCAGAAAATAGATGTTCTGATATGCATTTCTGAAACATATAGCATATTTTAGGTTTTTTCAGCTCTACTTGATTGGTGCCATACTACATGCATTACTTTATATTTTACTTGTTTTGATATGATATTTATAATAGTCATCCATGCCAATGTACGCAGCTTTAGTAAATTTCTTCCATTGTAAAGATGTACTGAAATTTACTTATCCATTTTGCTATTGTAGATGCTTATAATGTTTCTTGTTGACTCTTACTAACAGTGTTGTTTGTACCATTACCATGCATGCCTCACAAAATACATATACACAAAGTTTCTCTGGGACATATATCTATGTATGGAAGAGCTAGGTCATGGATGGCATAGAATTTCCACCTTATGAAACAGTGCCAATCTTCTATTCATAGAGAGCATACCATATATTCTCTCACCAGCCAGTGTGTGAAAATACACGTGGATCCACAGTCTCATTTAACTTGATGTGGACAGCCTATTTTTACTGGTCTCTAAGTATATTTTATTTCACATTTTCCTTATTATGAATGAAACTTAGTAATTTTTTCATATGTTTATTAGATTCTTGGGTTTCTACTTTGGAGAACTGCTTGTTCTATTACCTGTTCTTTTATTGGATTTTCTTCCCACCCCCCCTTTTTTAGTCTGTTATCTACATACTCTGAATATTAGATTTTTGTTAGTTACTTGTGTTGAAATGTAGTTGCCTACCATGGAGGTGCATTCTTTCAAAAAATGTTTGTGTCTGACACAGGTCAGGAAAATCCACAAGGGCTTTTTAAAGTAATCGAGTGAAGGAAATTCAGGCTGAAAATTCATGTGAGGGTGGGTCTGCAATTATATCCTCTCAAGGAGTTATTTCACCCCTAGTATGCTGATTGCAGAGGCAACTGTTCTTTTAGACTTTAGTGTGTGTGTGTGTGTGTGTGTGTGTGAGAGAGAGAGAGAGAGAGAGAGAGAGAGAGAGAGAGTGTATATGGGGGAAGGGGAGGTTACTCATGTTACCCTAAGCTCCCAGCCTTTGTAACCCAGCTGTATGTACAAATTATGTTCTAATAGATCTCTAATCCACAAATCTGTCAAATTCAAAGCTCAACTTTCTGGTTTCATTTTTATTGCTTCAATTCTTTCCTGGTGATTACTCACATGTTTTTGAGAATGTTTTTAATAAGTTTTAAATTGTTTTCAACAGAAGAGTTGGTCTACCATATTATAAGAACAGAATCCACTATCAACCTTAAAAATTTCCAGAACATTATATCATTTTGTACCAGGATCTCTTCATCAGCCATGATAAAATAGCTGTCATCTCTCCACTAACTTGTTTTAAAAATCTGTTTTCTCTTTTCTTTTTTCGCTTTCTGTCTTGTTCAATAGGCTCTAACCGTCTTGCTTTTCCATAATCTCTATTTTTTTAATTATCATTGTTGATCCAATATAGTATATAGGAGTGTGGGTAGAAATAAAAACAGTGAGCTCATTACTTAATTACTCTAAATTTCATGATATTGACTATTGAAATGGGGATATATTGAAATATTTTGAATATATTTGCTGTAAAACATTAGGAATAGAAAACTTAATTCTCTACTGGATCGATATGGAATACCTGAAAAAAGTTAGCTGTGATCATTATATTTATGTAGGTGACAACCAATTGAATTCACAAGGATAGAGTATTAATTTCCAACAATTAATTTCCAAATCATAGTCAAAGAGATATCACACCAAAGATGTAGTCATGGTATCCAGAGGCAAGTACAATAATTGCTACATTTTCAAATATTTTCATATCAACTATTCTTTGAATGTTGTATTCATCAAGTCTTTGGTATGATTTGGCCAGTGAGATAGATTATAACTTTAAAAGGATATTTTAATATGACACAAATCATTAAGAAAAGTCAAGAAAATTCAATAAAAACAACAAGAGATATTTGGGGATTTTTGTGAGTGAAGAAGCAGGATAATACTTGTGAATACATAAAATGTAGTGTGAATAGATTTTAGTATGTAATATACAAAGAAGTCAAATTTCAATAGAAGGAAAATAGCACTAGACAATTTGTGGATATAAGCAATAATATTTCTTAAAATCATTTTACACGTTTTTAAGACTTACTCATTTATATATTGTCTAGAAAAACCTTTTATAAGATATATACGTAAATATGTCAGTAATTATGAAATAGAATTGATATTCATATAGAAAGGTAACAATTATTTTCTTGAAATAAAATATTTTTATATCAAAATTACTTAGTTCTAATCATTTCTCTGTATTTCAATATTTCTTTCAAATAAAATAAACTTATTTCTACCTTGGCTTTTCCAACTCATTAAAGTCTCAAAGATTTAGTATTCATGTAGTAAATATTATTCACCAAACCAATCTTTGAAACATATTTTAAAATCCAATGTAATAAAGTTAAATCTTGCCTCAGGGAGACGAATAAAATTTGAATCAACATTTTATTCAAGGGAGTATTAAAACATTTGAACACTATCTTCAGGACTACTTTATTTAATCAAAATAGGAAAAGGCACTGGGATAAAATCAAAATTTGTAAGGAATGAAATAATAAAATATACATTTACTATGCATTCATTGTCACTTTTTAATTCAAAAGCCAGAAACAAATATGTCATTTGTAATTATTTTATCTGAGAGAAGAATATAATCCCCACCTGAGAAAATTATATAAATTGCATTTATCTCACTTTATTTTACATTTTTAAATAAACAGGTCTGAGGCTAAAACCCTATGAACTTATCATGCATTTTGTCACTTACAGCTTGAAAATTCCAGCGGACAGGAATGTTCATCCATAGGAAAGTTATGAAGCTGAAGATAACATTCTGCATTAATTGTCAATCTATTTAAATGAAAAAATAAATATTAAATAATAAATAATTTCAAACATTAAAAATCCTTTGTCTAATATTCAAGAATGATTTTGGCCTGATAACAGTCTGTGATATATTAGAAAATAATAATAATACTTCAAAGTTTTAAATGTTAATATTGTAACATTCATAAGTGAGTATGAAAATTCTAACATTTTCCTTTCCAGCCAATTAAGCTACCACTATATACATTTCAGTAAATCTGCTTACGGTTAAAACTTTATACTTCAGGATCACAAAAACACATTGCACACACACACACACACACACACACACACACTCACACACAATTAACTGAGTATACATGGTTATGTAAGGTGATTGTTTTCTCTTAAGTTTTCATGAACATCTTTTCACTAAGGATGATTCTTAAGATTAGGATGATCCTTGATAAGATATGTTAAGATATGTTCAAGACAACGAATTAAATAAACTTGAATCTTATATACATCAACCTTCATTTAATCCTTTCTTAAGGATGCTTTATTACATTATTGAAAACTTTATAGTAGATTGTGCTCCTAGAGAATATCTCAACTATTTGCACCATAGGTTAAAATACATAATGTTCACACCACACCCTCTTTTGTTGCAGAGTTGGGGAGGGAAGGAGGGAGGAATCAAGAGATTTTTCTTGTTTGTTTTTCATTCCTTTCATATGCTAGTTACTCTGAGCTTTAAAAAAAGTTTCCAAAGTATACCGCTATTTTAGATTTTAGTGTATGAAAGGAACTCCATATTTCTTTCTTTGTAATACTGAAAAAGGAAAATTTGTGCCTTGACCAAATATTAGTATGGAAAATAAATTAAAGCAGCTATATTTTTTAAAACAGTATTACCTTAAAGTATATAAAACTCGTCCATCATTCCAAATTCGAAGCAGACGATTAGGAGTTGTTATCCAATGTGCATCAGATTTTCTTGAGTTTCTGAAGAAAGTGTCAGGAATCCAAATTTTTCCTACCATATTACTGTTAAGCATAAGCACTTTCATGGTACTATTGAATTTTAAACGACTATCAAACCAGGTTTGGGCAAAAATTATATCTATTGTGTATTCCTGAAAGATAAAAAGAAAGGTAACAACTTATAGTAAAGTCACTACTTAGACTTTTTTTAGATGTTTTCATTTTTACATTATAAAATTTCTGTAAGTGAATAGCACTGAAACTCAGTGTTTTCAAATAAAAAATATGCGATTACCTTAATTTTCATTTTTAATTATTTGCCTGAGTCATATAAGATGAAGTCCAAGATTTCTAGTAATAACTGCTTCCTAGTGCGGCTTCATAATTGTTTTGTAAATTTTATTCAAGATTTTATAATATGTAGTATATAGTCATTTAATATAAAAGCAAATTACCTTAATGTCAACAATTGTATCAATTTTTGTGACATTCACATGGAGCATCGGTTAAAAAAATCACAAATAAATACAAAATCAAGATGCAAATACCAAATTACCTAAAATCCCTTACATTTTCTTTTGTCCAAAAAATTAATTACAATTATTTAAATCCGCTGTTCTCAAAATTTTCAAAGCACACACACATACCCTTATTAAGCGCTTTTAACATGCCAAGCACTGTATGTTGAGTTTTGTATGTATCATATCATTAAATCCTTACTGCAACCCTGTGAAATAGGTACTGCTATAACCTTTATTTTTAAGTCGCATTTACTGAGCAATATAGAAGTAAAATAATTCTCCCCACATCACAAAGGTAATAAGCAAATGATAAGGAGACTGAATCACCACAGGCTGAATCCAAAATCCACATCCACGACAACCATACATAATGGTAGTCATAGTGGAGCCTGATGGGTGCTGGTATTAGAGCACAGGCTGTGCCCATTATCAGCGACTGTATATAAGAAATTCCAGGGTTATGAGAGAACCCTGGAGGAAGTGATTAGGTATTACCTACCTTTGTATCCTGACAAAATGTCTGCCACATTATAAGCACGAAAATTGATTTGATAAAATTAATGAATAAGAATGCGGTAATTATCGATGCTGTTGAGGAAAGTGATTATGTATGTGTACAACTTTGATATTAAGAGAGACAGAAAAGAGTAAATTGAAAAATATGAAATAGTATATGAATTACTTGTTGTGGGAGAGATTGGTTGCTCACTCTCGATGTAAGGCTAGCAATTGGCCAATTTACATGGACGGACATGTTTAGTGTAAGAAAGAGAAGTGTAATTAGGAGTTTGACCAATTGAATGAAGATTTTTTAAAAAGGTAGAGAGAATAATAAGTACACAGACTAGGAGTTAACTTGTTATGAGGAAAGTTGTATCAAATCCTAATTCCCAGCAGAATATTTATAAGTATAATTCACTTGACTAGAATATAGAGGAAATAGAATAGATAAGGAATATAGAATAGAAAGGAAAACCTTATTTTATGTATTTTGGCGTTTTATTTTTATTTATTGAATAAATTTGACATGTAACATTGTATAATTTAAAATTTTTTTAATGTTTATTTATTTTTGACAGAGAGAGAGAGAGAGAGAGAGACAGAGCATGAGCGGGGGAGGGGCAGAGAGAGAAGGAGGGAGACACAGAATTCGAAGCAGGCTCCAGGCTCCGAACTGCCAGCACAGAGGCCTACGCGAGGCTCGAGCTCACAGACCACGAGATCATGAACCGAGCCAAAGTCAGACACTCAACTGACTGAGCCACCCAGGTGCCCCCATCATTGTATGATTTGAAGGCATACAGCATACAGCATACGTAAAGTTACTTTGATATATTTCTGTACTGTCAAAGATTGCCAATGTAGCAATATTTATCATATTACATAATTATGGTACATTATTGTCTATATTAATTATTGTACATTTGACATCTATGGCTTATTTACTACTTACTACAAGTTTGTACCCTTAACCACCTTAACTACCATCATCTTATCTATTTTATTTTATTT